TTTTTTTGAGATGATTGTACTATGTGATTTACATTCGAAGACTATGTTTAGCATTTTGAAGTTAAGCAAGAAGATTTTAAAATGCAAATTACAATGTAACTTCCATCGAGACACCGCAACTCTATTGCCACGCTTGATTTACGACTGACATTTCTTCAAGTGCATGAATTTTGCAACAAAACGCACGCTACTATGTGTTAGTTACTTCCTTCAACGTAACGGCACTGAAATATGCACGAGTATACACGAGGTCATAAATTTTTACTAGGACTCAAGTTTAGATCATTTTTTTCTATTGTTCGAGAATGGTGATTGAAGATAGAAACATAACGAATTGTCGACCATGTAAAAATATTTAAAAATTACGTCCAATTTCCTTCTCTAGATGAAAATCAACTTGTGACTTTCCCCCAGAGACAATATCCTGACTGCAGAAGGTGCAGTTGCTTAAAACTGCACTTAATTACTGAACAACCATAATATATCAAGCTTTCCATAAACTTCCGCTTCCAAGCAGAGAGTGAAGGTTATCAGTGAATAATAATCTCGCAGCAAACGCTTTCACGGCGATAAATCTTCATGTATGCACATACATAGACTTGCAAGTTGCTACGAGCACTTGTAAATATTAAGGAACATTTTCTCCTGTAATAAATTTGTTTCGGATACTTTGAAACGTCGTATCGCAATATAAAATAATTAATACAATACCTTCTACATTATAATAAATCGTTTAACATTTTTAAATTGTTCTCAGAATCAATGTCAGATTATATAAAATCACGTTTCTAAAATTTAGAAATGCAATAGGGACGGTCAGTTGTTCAGAAATTCACAGTTTATTCGTTATTCGGATTATTCTTCGCGTATTTTTCTGGAGGATAATCAATTCTGCTCTTACAAATGGCGAAAGGGTTAACGTAACATTAACTAGCAGGTAGATAGTTCGTCAAACGAGTCATTGGAACGCTGTTCCTTCATCGAATAGCAAGTTTGTGTCCCGCTGACAGCATTCTAATTGTGAAAATCGAGACCAACGAAACTCAGGTGGTGTGCATGAACCGTGACTCGATGACTCAAGTCGAGGCAGAAAAAAATTGGCCATTTGTCCTACGAAACTAAGGCCAAGTCGATGAGATTCGCGAGCAAGCAGGTGGTTCATTAATTAATTAATGAACCGAATTGTCTAATTTTAGAAGTTAACTTCGAGGTCAATTTGATCTTTGAAGTCTCTTACCGTGATCGCTCAGTATTTCATACTTCGTATTTACTATATTTTCTTTATTGTAACTCCAGGAAATTCTTATTAAACATTCCGAGTCTAGCGTAGAGTATCAATAACACATACCTTTCCTGGCCTCTCAGTTTTATTAGCCTATTGAAGCAGAAACGCACTCGACTAACTCGTTTAATTGCATAAAATTGACTCAACTGTAATACAAATTTGTATGTAAATTACAGATAATAGCAGAAATGACGTGGAAGTATGCAAACGCACTGGTTTATGAAATTCAAAGATTTACCGTGAAAGTGTAATATGAAACACTTTGATATTTCATTGGCTGCTAACAAGTGGCGTGCAGACTCTTGTGCAACTTCACCTTTTTACAGCCTAACGGAGTACAATTTAAAAATTTTTATAAATTTGTTTCATCCATTAAAATCTGTAACGAGTTTCTCGCGTTTCCATTTCTTACTGAAACTTTCTTCTGTTTGTGCACGAGTGTCAATGAAATTATCCTGCGGATTCTTACGTGATTTTATATTTTTATAAACTGGTGACTATCGAATAAAATTTTAAAAATTTTTAACACCTCACAAGCAAGCTCATTGTTACTCGAATGCATTGTAAACTTTCGCGATAGATTTTCGGGACCTCAAGTTCGCAGATACGCTTCGACAAATGAAGTACGACTTTCGCGAGCCGCTTTTCGAACGCTAAAGCTAATTACACGAAAGAGAGGAGAAGAAGAAGAAGAGGAAAGGGACGAAGAGAGGAGGAATAGTCGATCAGTTTCGAAATGCTAACGGTGTCCTTGGTTTGGACGGTGCTCGATTGATCGCGCAGCAAAGACGCGAGGTATCGGTCAGATTATTGTTATTAATAACACACGATCGTTTGTAATTTATCTTTGGCTAACCGTGTCACGTGAAATCTTTGTTCGCTTTGGCTTTTGATCGAGCGGCCAGCGCGATATTGCACGGTGACGGAACGGTGGAAACACCTGCGAGGAAGGCGAATGCCTTTCCTACGCGAATAATGTTACGTTGAAGGCAATAAACCTTGATAGGCCAGAGTGATGAAACGAGCGGTCTGAGGAAAGGTTCTCTCCTTCTTCGTCTTCTCCTTTCAGTGCCGTTTCTACGAGAATAACGTCTCTTCTTGATTACTCTGTCGCTCTATCTCAATATTGCCAAGAGAATAATTTTAATGGCGATGCAAGGGGAATGATATGACATTAGAAAAAAAAAGGAGGATGACAAACGACCCAGATTTTCGAGATACGATCGCTTGATTAACATTTTCACGCAAGATAATGGTCGAAGAGTTTGTTAGAATTTCGTCCTACGAGAGAATTATATATTGATGTTTGTGGTATGGAAAAAAATTTCAGATATCGTATTAATCATTTTTCAATTTTTAATAATTGTAAAGACGAAATATCTGAATTTAGTATACTGCTGGATTCCGTGTAATGGAGTCGACACGCTTATAATTTAGAAGAGTTCATTCCCTTACAGTCGTGGTCGTGTATGAAATAGAATGATATAGAATGATTTACAATGTTTAATGTTCTTGAATATGATGTAGAATGTTTGATGCTTTTAATGATACAGAATCTATAGTGATTTAGAATGTTTTATGCTGTCAAATGTCTCTAAAGCATGTCCTTATATATATATTTGGTTATCATCGTCAAGTGGAAGAGGAAGGAGCATAGATGACCAATTATTGGATCTTGCCTTTATGACTAACTATTCACAGTCCACTTTTATGTAGACTGTTGCTAGCATTGTCAGTATTTGCACAGATTCAATATTGTCCAGGTAGCAAGAAACAAAATTTAAAGGTACGAAGTGAAACAAGAATCTGAAATAAAAAGTCGATTGATATGGCGTTGACATGGTTAGTACCATATATAAGGAGAACCTGGACAGCAATTATATTGAAACCGTTAGTTACGATTAATTGAAGGTGATCCTTGATTAGAACCAGCATTAAATGACCAACACGGTTGCTTCATTAAGAACAATTACTCCCTATTTTGCGGCAACTACAAACACGTTGTTCACTGCTGATAAATTTCCCACATCTTGTCCTGCTACGCGATTAAAGAATTACAACCGCGTTTCTAAATAATTGGACGTGCATCACGAGACACTAATCTCACCCACGTGTTCGTGAAATTACGAAATTCGTTCGAAGGTCGGTTTAATTATTATTCAACATAACTTCTCGTCATCTTCGTCTCTCTTAGTACAAAAACAGATTTATACTGCAAACGTCTTCAGATATATCTCGATTACAATAGACATTGTTATTTTTGCGAAATCTTTAGTTAGAATAAGTGCACTTACAGATAAGAAAATAATTTGAGAAGACACTTGCTTTTGGCCTTGTGCAGAAAGGTTTTTGTCTCGAACTGTTAACCACTTGCGCTGGCAACTGGTTCGCGAACCATAACGAGTGACCGAACCGTATATACAATAATTCGTCGCTTTCTTTTCCTTTTCAACTCGTCGGTGTGATATCGCTGGATCGAAATTATTAAGAACTAATAAACTTATCATTTGTTTTGCCTCGGTTTACATTTAAATATACTTAAAACTGTTGCAATTTGAGATAACAAATTTTTGACGTGCGTGGTACGTCATTCCAGCGCAAGAGGTTAATCATCTATCTCGCACAGGTCCTTGTCTATAATGAATATTATAAATACTCTAAAGAAAAAGCACGTTCACGTTCGACTTATGTAATGTCGATTCTTTCATTCTAATGAAATCTCCGTTTCTTTGCAACTAACTTAATTGACGTAGTTCTACCATTTGCTCCTAGAAATTTAACTCATAAAGATTATCAGGGAATTCTCAGAACGTTTTAACATTAGAATGCTAATTTGCTAAATTTCTTTCATCATTCAGCCTATTGTATGTATCTTACTCGAATGTTTCTTCTTTACTAACGTTGCACGTTGCTCTATTCTTCCTTTGTAGAATACTATTTTTGCAAACGTCCCTTTTTTTTTATTTCAGTGTTGGAATACGTCGGACCAAAATGGAGGACATTCGTAGCGAACATGTCGATAGCGATGTTCTTCACATTTGCAGCGTGCATTTTACCCTGGATTGCGTACTTCTTGGCTGATTGGAGGATGACCTGCATCGCCACTTCGGTCCCTCTTGTTGTGGCCGTAATGACGCCGTGGTTGATCCCGGAGAGTGCTCGATGGTTGGTCAGCCAAGGTCAAGTAGACAGGGCTATCGAGATCCTGGGCAAATTCGAGCGAATAAACGGCACCAAGGTGCCTGACGACATCTACAAACGATTCCGAGTAAGGAAATCCTTTTGAATTTTTCCAGTTTACAAAGAAATCTCGATGGAACGATATCTCATTATTTCCATACCAGGCTAGGAACATGCTTCTCTTCCAACTGTTATTAATATCGATACACGGTACCGAGAAGATCGTCCATTTTATAAAATCGATCAAAATCCCGAGAGATAATTGTTCCGTGCAAATCAAATTTTTGCCCAAACTTTTGTTCGTAAAAATAAATCCGTATAAATTTATAAAGGGCCAGGGAGCCTGATCAATTAAACTTTGATAACAACAGGATACCTGTGCCAGAATATGCAAAGAGGAGGAAGCAGATAAAACGTATTCTGTGTTAGATCTATTTAAAACGCCACGGCTACGGAATATTACTCTTCTATTTATCATTATCTGGTACGTACTGGTCAAATTATTCAATTTAATATATACTATTCAATTTAATTTAATTCATTTATTCAATTTAGTTCATTTGTTCAATTCAATTTAATTTATTTATTTATTCAATTCAATTTAATTCATTTAATCAATTTAATTTAATTCATTTATTCAATTTAATATATACTATTCAATTTAATTTAATTCATTTATTCAATTTAATATATACTATCCAATTTAATTTAATTCATTTATTCAATTTAATTTAATTCATTTATTCAATTTAATTTAATTCATTTGTTCAATTCAATTTAATTCATTTATTCAATTCAATTTAATTTATTTATTCAATTTAATATATAATATTCAATTTAACTTCGAAATTCAGATTGCATCCTTCAGAATGCCTCGCATTATGCAAATATTTCTCACTCGTCGTTTGCACGATGCAAGAACATTCCGTTTGATTCAATGTCAATCCCTCCAAGCGAAGAATTCGCATCCAGTGCGAAACGCGATATCGTGCTTCATTTTATCGTATCGAATTGTTGTTTTTTTTTTTTTTTTTTAACACAGGATGGCGATTTCTTTGGTGTTCGACGGTCACGTACGGAACGTTGATAATCTAGGCCTGAACGTGTTCGTCACATTTACAATCGCTGCAGCAACCGAGTTGCCCGCCGACACGTTTCTCACGTTGGTTCTTGATCGATGGGGCAGAAGGTGGCTCGCGTGCGGTTCCCTCGTTGTCTCCGGTGTATTCAGCATCTGGGCTTCAGCTGTTTCTAATCGTTTGTATATCTTTTTTCATCATCGTCACTCTTATATCACATCAGCTATTTAGAATACAAATCGAAGCTGGATGAACAGTCTCTCGAACAGAAATTACAATTGGCAATTCCCGAAATTATTTCATGGATCTGACCTTGTCAATAGTCATAAAATGCCTTACGTTCTCAATCATGTGATCGAGAAGGGCACAATGAGATCGAAGGACACGGTCAGATCACAATGAAAGATCAGAAAGTTCAGGTCGAGGGCTGGTCCTTCGAACCCCAAGTGGATATACTTACTATACTATATCCTATGTACTATACTATACTATATACTATGTACTATACTATACTATATACTATGTACTATACTATACTATATACTATGTATTATACTATACTATATACTATGTACTATACTATACTATATATTATGTACTATATTATACTATATACTATGTACTATACTATACTATATACTATGTACTATACTATACTATATACTTTGTACTATACTATACTATATACTATGTACTATACTATACTATATATTATGTACTATACTATACTATATATTATGTACTATACTATACTATATATTACGTACTATACTATACTATATACTATGTACTATACTATACTATATACTATGTACTATACTATACTATATACTATGTACTATACTATACTATATACTATGTACTATACTATACTATATACTATGTACTATACTATACTATATACTATGTACTATACTATACTATATACTATGTACTATACTATACTATATACTATGTACTACACTATACTATATAGTATACTATATTATACATATACTTACTATACTATATACTATATATGTACTATACTATACTATACTTACGATACTATATACTATGTACTATACGTATACTTACTATACTATATACTATACTACATTATACATATACTTACTATACTATATATTATACTACATCAGACATATACTTACTATACTATATACTATACTATACTGTACTATACTATATATACTATATACTATATATTACGGATATACATCGAGGAACAGTGATCCTTAACGGTAGATAATTAGACAAATCCAATCATAAAAGTAGTTTCTTCGAAGATTTTTCTAAAACAAATTCTTTCGCAAAGTACGAGACGGTAATACGGGAAATGTCCTCTTTCAGATATTTACACAGCCTCTCTGGCGATTCTTGGTCGATTCTGGATAAATATTTCGTACAATATCGGCCTCCAATACGCAGCTGAGGTGTTGCCAACTGTGGTCAGAGCTCAGGGTGTAGCTCTGATACACATAATGGGATACGTTGCTAGCATCCTCGCGCCGTACGTGGTATACCTCGACGTCGTTTCGTCGATTCTGCCTCTCCTCGTGTTGGGCACGCTTGGAATTATAGGCGGTATTTTGACTCTGTTCTTACCGGAAACGCTTGACAAGGATCTTCCGCAGACGCTGCAGGACGGCGAGGACTTCGGGAGAGATCAGAAGATGTGGGATTTCCCTTGTATCGGAAGGTAAAATCACCTTTACGGGAACTTTAAATCTCCTTTCTTTTTCTCAGAAATATTTGCAGGTCGTGCAGTTGCAAACTTCAAGACTCTCGAGTTTTCCTTTAGATCCTGATCCTGGATGATAGATGATCCCGATACGACGTTGGATTATATATTTCCTTCTTCCTCAATTCTCGAGGAAGTCACGGAAAAGAAAGAAGCAGGATTGGATTGTTTCTCTTTTCTCTTCCAAGTGTCTTAAATTTTTTTTTTTTTTTTTTAGGAAAAGAAAACGAAATTAATCAAGTTTCATCATCGCCTCCGTTGAGCATAAATTTTCCATTTTTTTCATTTGTCTTTGGAATCTTTGTAATGATAAAATCACGGAAGAAAGTAATTTTCTTTCTCAAGTGTTTTTAAACGAGAAAGTGAGGAATTAAATTAAATTAAATTATCCGCAAATAATAACTTTAAATTTAAATAATAACGAATTCAACACTTTTCGTTTTCATATTTTCGCAGGAAAGATGAGGAGGAAGAGATACCGCCTAGGTTCCGATCACTTTCCACGTGCAGCGCGAGGAACTCGATGAGAGCGTCGCTTCGTGGTGAAACTTTAAGGAGCACTATGCTACGACGATCGAGCATAAAGTCGAGGAAGAGCGGAAATTCCGTCATAGAGGTGGAAAGATTATAGTGAAATATTCACAACGAAGTGTCTGTTACCTTGATCTCTAGCAAAGAATCCTTAGTCTTCCAAAAAAAAAAACGTGCAATATTAGCGTAAATCGAGTAAAACTTCGTCAAACTTCGTGCATTCATTATCATCATGATTGCGGATTTTTATGCAATTGTAGTTGAGAAACATAAAGGTACAAAGCAGCACACGAATAAAACATATATAAATATATATATATATATATATATATATATATATATATATGTTTTTTAAACATTATGTATAAACATATATATATGTTTTTTAAACATTGTATATAAACATATGTATAATGTATGTTTATATGTTTACATTAATTATTAATGTATACATATATGTTTTTTAAATATTATATATATATATAATATATATATAGAATATTCAAAGCGTAGAAAACAAATTTCTGTTCAATTCCTACTTCTTCAGTTGTATTAATAAAAATATGAATTTGCATAAAAATCAGCAATCAAATTATCGTCATTGATTTTTGACAATGGCCGATGAAAGAGTCAATGGTTATATTTAAATAAAAATTAGAAACTCGAGAGTAGTCAACGACGAAAATTAGTGCTTTCTTTTTTTTTTTACTGTCGATGTTCCTGAAATTTTTCGTACAACAGCTTCTATAGAATAGTACAATTGTTGTAACAGTACAATTACATTATACAAATACTAGAAAAGTATTATCGATGTTAATCGGTTGGTCAGCTAGCTTGGCCAATGTGACATGCGTGACCATAAATTTTGTTTTGCGTGCAAGTGTAAATTTGTAGATCGATTAGAATTAGCCATTATTTTTACTGCAATGTAAAAACGTTCGTCATTTTTGTAATAAAACGGAAAACAAAGCTAGATTTAGACGTCGGTATTTTTCCAACATTTGCTCCTTAGCCGATTGAATTTAAGTATAAATAGGGAATGAGGATTATTTTTTTTTAATCTCATTGATACATTTGTCGACGTCTGCCGATATTCGATTTTTAAATACGTGCCATATATACACGTGGATTACTGTCGATGACATGATTCTTTAATAGCTCTTATTTGTTCCATTCTGAAATTGTGAATCGTTTCTCTTCAAAATCATTATGATCATTATTTCACTATTCCAAGAATCTTGGAATAGTGAAACAACAATTTGACAAATTTCTAAGACTAGAACTATCAAAATTTCTACAAAATTTCTACAATACATTAATACATTATACAAATGTTCGATTAATTTTTCTCTCGAAATATATTCCATAGAGCAAATGTCTTCCTCAGAAAAATTCTTCTGCACAGAAAGTTCCTCTTTCAGAAATTTCTAAATGACAAGTTCTTCCTCCCTTTCATTTTAATTCCTTTTCTTTTTTTTTTTAGGATAGCTGACAGAGAATGTCACGCCATGTGCGTGTAGAGTTCCCCGCGAATATCGTTCACCCACACGAAAGTTCGTGACCTTTGTTGAAGTTATCTTCGTATAATTATTGCTATTAACGTGACGCAATCAGAAGAACGCGACGAATGCGTGTCCCTGGCGTAACTGGAGTTTATCAATCATACACGTTACAAGACGATCGTTACCATTATTCGGTATCGAGTAACGTGGCTAGAGATATAAAGAGTAGGCAAGATTAATTTTGCTGTCCTCAACGCGAACGCTTGCAAAATTTCGATTTCGTGATTATCGTATTATATTTATTCCTTCGTTTGTGTAAAATGTGAGAGGCACTCTTTTACTTACTGTTTGCAACTTTTCGCGAAATTTCAAGCGTTGATATTTTTTTCTTAACTTTTTCCTAGCGTTAATAGGTTTTAAATTCTTGTTTCTGAATTCTTTGTAGCGTTGATAGATAATCTGTACACGACTGCAGATTAAATATTCTGAATTTTACAATTTTTCTTTCAATTTTGTTTTCTTGCATTTCGAATCGCTAATTTCTGTATATTGAATTTCCGAGTTTTCGATTTTCGAGGAGTTTTTCAGTTTCACACGTCGAACTTGGAGTTTTTAAAGTATTTCAAGTCTGTTTTAACAAATGACCTCATTATCGCCGGTAATTGTTGAAAATATACACATGTTACGTTATTATCAAGAGAATTGAATTTACTTTAAGATAAGACTCGTCAAGTCAACTCTTGAAAGGTGAATATTTAACGCAACAAAATCTATACAAATCCTTGGTTCAGAGAATGATACTAATTCATCAGTGCTAGTTGCACATCACTTCAATTAAAACTTCAACTAAAAATCGTTAAAATCTCGTAAATTTCAATGCACCAAGTTAAACATCTTTCCAACCTTGGAATTATCAGATGAACACACAATATAAACTCAACGATATTTAATCTCGTAGATCACATCTCGTGATTCGTTAACAAAAGAGAATTTTCAACGACGCAGTGAGAAAATTTAATGCCGCGGAGATTGTCTGTGAACAATTATTGTCGAAGCCAGTCACGATAGTGCAAGCCAGTCGCATTGTAATAACAGTGTTGCTTACTAAGCGATCCATAGATCGTTCAGTTCTGTTTGTTTCGTCGGTGAAAGAATATTTGAGCCACAAACGAGATCGAGGAAGCGAGACTGATTAATCAGTTCAATTTGGAAAAATTGAACGATCGTCATAAAATTTTCGAAAATTCTCGAAATTTTCAGAAATTGTTTGTTTGAATTTTGATCGTTTTTTACATACAATATTGATCTATCTGTCGTGCAAATACGATTTTCTGGTAATAACGTCTTGAATATCTTGAAATATACTAAACTCAGGTTTAATATTTGATAATGAAGAATTAGAATCAATTTTTAAATATTAAAACATCGTTCTCGAAAGGAAAGCTAGTATATATAACTCACAGTTAAAATTATTATCATTACCTCCAGTGACAGATTAAAATTGGATCGAACTGTTTTTTAAATGTTTTCATCGAATTCTTTCTCGTTACGCGTTCGTAGTACCTAACTGAATTATTTAAGTAGTTGCGCAGGTCAGAAAAAAGGACATTCGAAGTTCCCTCGTCCGATCTTTGCAGTGAAAGCATTTTCATTTTTGCTTTGACGTTGCAATGCGAGACGTGCCGATTTCCGCTGCGTTACTCAATGATCCTATCTATCAAGGCAAGCAAGATTCTCGGGGATCAATGTCGTTACGCGGCGGCGATCAAAATTTTTCCAACTCGCAAATAATCATTACTTAACACTTAATTACCTGACTAAAATTATTCCTCGTCACTTTCATTACGATCTTAATAATCCTAAAGCATCTATGATCCCGTGTTTATTTTCATTTCAACTTTCCTTTTCCTTATACATTAATTAGAGTTATTGTCTTATTTGCTACGATATTTCGTTTCAATAATTTCGTTTCTGGCACTGAAATCTGCTCAATGATTACACTGCGTACAAATACAGATAAAAACGTAATTTTCTGTGTAATTTTCTCCAGCGATATGGTAAAATGGTTGTTTATTTATAAGTTGCGATACCGTTTTCGAATGTTGACCTTTCACATTGTCACGATACGGCCAGTAGTATCTCGACTAGAGTAAATGAATTTAAAATAAATAAGTTCAAAAATCGTGTCAGTATCATACGATCGATTTAGATTTACTTGCAGTTAGTCAGGCCCACTGTGTACAGACTCGTCGAGTGTTAACGCGTGGCGGAAATAGTATCGAAGCTTTTTAATTTACGCCGCCCGCAAAATTATTTATAGACAGCGTGTAATCGCGTATCGCTCGTTGCTCGTTTCATCATTCTCTGTTGCGTGAACGTTGCCGGATTAGAAACCAGCAGCAGATCAAGTGGGAATGAAATAAGGCCAGACACCGTAACGGATCTATAACCCGCTCAGCGTGCCTCTGTTATTATCGACGCTAGTAACCGTTAATCTCCACAGTGTACGTTCCTTTTAATTTAAATTTCCTTTTGTTCAATAATCGACGAACGTTGAACGTGAGATTTCTTCCGTTTCGACGCTGCGCGTATGTACGTTTGTACGTACAAGTTCATTCATACATTCAGCGATGTGTAAAAGCTTTCGTTTCTGATACGTTCTTCCTCGAAAAGCTCGTATCTAAATATTTATACAATGAACAACACGGACGTGAATTATCGACAAATCATACAAACGTCTGCGGACATTCACGGCCGAGGCAAGATTAATTTTCGCCTCTCTCGATTGAAAACAAGAAGGCTAGCGCCGATCCAACGTCAAAGAACTGAAAAATAAATTCCTCGTCGAATTTATCTTTCAGACGGTTAATTTCTGCAACGTTTTGCGTTTCAACGCAAATCGAGTCTCAATGTCGGTTGTTGCTCCGTCGTCTACGTTATCGCCAATTTTATCGCACGACGGAACGGCAATACGTTTGAATCTATTTAAAGATATTTAAATGAAATTTCGGTCGATAGCAGCCGGCGGAGCACGTGGTGTCCCGCGGAAGTCGTGAGAAACAGCTTTGCCTATTTCCACTTGGCCGATTCGTTTCTTCTCCTCTTTCTTCTCCCTCTATCGTTCCACTTTATCCTTCGACTCTCTGCTTCTCCTATTGACAGACACGTGTCGACCCGGTCTTGTATCGCGTTCGTCTTCGCGAAGCAAACCGATACCGCGAACCGGTTTCTCCCTTCATATTCGCGCCAGGTCTTGTGAACATCGGACGTGTCCCTCTTCGTTCCTTTTAATCAACAATTATATATATATATATATGTATATAATATTATTATTTTATATTAATATTTTATATTAATATTATTTTAATACTATTAACATTAATATTAATATTATTTTAATATTATTAATATTTTATATTAATATTATTTTAATACTATTAATATTTTATATTAATATTATTTTAATACTATTAACATTAATATTAATATTAATATTTTATATTAATATTATTTTAATATAATTAATATTTTATATTAATATTATTTTAATACTATTAATACTTTATATTAATATTATTTTAATACTATTAATATTTTATATTAATATTATTTTAATACTATTAACATTAATATTAATATTTTATATTAATACTATTTTAATATTATCATATATATTATTTTTTAACACAAAAAATAATTGTGCAATCGTGTTAATTTGTTCGATTAACGACCATTGACGTTTCTCGCGCGATGATACCGATTTTGCGATTGTTCCACATCGTCGAGGGAAATTTCATCGATCAGTTTCACGTTTCACGATTTGCCCTGTTGGCAGGAGCGTTCCCGATTAGTTTAAATATTGATTGTAGTGTGTCTACGAAGGGAAATTGAGTCAATCTACTTGTTTTGATTCGTTCGTTAATTCTATCTCGTCTTGTTGATCGTGTGTTTGATCATCGTTTGCCATGTTTCTTCGTGGGGAATAGTGTTGATGGTTTGCTTAACGATTCTACTCGCCTCTCGAAGTAAATTGTGTCTGTTATTCGTTCCAACCATCGATTCTATCTTTCTGTCAACTGTTTTAAAGCAACCATGCTTGTCTGTTTGTGCGTTTAAGTACCTAAACAAATTTCGAAACAAATTATCTTTACTATCTTATTTGGTTTTTCTTTCTAAAATTGTGCGCGTGTGTATGTGTGCTTTTCATTGTACTCGCTTTTCGAAGTAAACTACGTCGATCATCGATTCTAATTTTCATTTTGAGGTAAACTATCTCAAAGAAATATTCTCAAAGAGAATCGAGTTCCTTGGCTGATTCTAATTTCGCTTCGATATAAGCCATTTCTCCATCGACTCCGTTCCTTATTAAAAAGTAACATCTGACGCTTCATAATTCATTTCATCACCAACTTCTGCCTCAATTTCGAAGAGAACCACGTGGATCTTTAATCCTGTCGATCTGAATTCTTCATTTTGTAATAAACCATCAACCACGAACGAAAAATAGAAGCGACGAACAAATATTCCTCGGTTGTTTCACCATGAGAAATATGAACGACATTAATGTATTGAATAATTTTGTTGATTAGAATGGTTTGATATGATTTAGCCATCGAGGAAGATGATAATTCGACCAAGGATGATTTTTGACTGCTAATTACGTAACTCGTTGTTAATCGGACTAAAAGTGATTACCAGTGAATCTGATAGTGATCACCAGACAGATATATGATCAACGAGTGATCAATTTGAAATTTCATTTTGAAATCTTGAGACTATACTCTAAACGAAGAATCATTGTGACAGGTGAGAATTGAAATTTTTTATATTTATTATTTTTTTATAATTATATATATATATTATTTTTTTATAGTTATATAGTTTTATATTTATTATTTTTTTCATAGTTATATAGTTTTATATTTATTATTTTATATAGTTATTATTATACAGTTACAGTAGTTTTATATTTAGTTTTACATAGTTATATTTTTTTATAGCAGTAAATGATTCTTATCAAAGGTTTGGGTTAGGTTTTTTTAACGGGTAAAGAAATTTTTAAAATAAAGAAGCAATTTTAGAACTTTTATCAGTATAAATAAAAAGATTCGTTTCATTCAGTAAATGCTGTAATAAACTATTTTATAATAATCAATATAAATACATATAACATATTATACAATAATATTTAAAATTATATATTGACATTTAATATCAAATTGACATTTCACAAATTTTCAAAAGTGTAATTGTATTCAATCCTCAGTTTCGTCGCAGTTCATTGACTTTCAGCAACTTTGTTGCAGCTTGTCAGCTTGACTTTTGACGTCGCGTTTTATACGAGATATGAATTTTTTAAAATCCCGCGCCAGATGCCTCGATAATAATTATTAATCTTGTTTTCAATGTTGTATGCATTTGTCTTCGCACGCGAGCGCATTCACTATGAGTTGGAGACACGAACATTTCTCGTTGTCTTATTTTCTAAATAGGTCGGTTATTTCGAGCACTTTCTCGGTCGCGGCAGTGAGATTAATTATTTTTAAAGTAGTTTTACCCCACACCCTTGTCGTTTTTTTTTACATTAATTAATATCCCCCGAGTCAACTTATTTAGAGTAATTTCGTCAGATACGAAAATAAAAATCGAAAGATTCGTGTATTCGTATGTAATTCCCAGTTCGAATAATTTTACTAACATCCAAACGATTAACTCATTTTAAACATTCTAATTAATTCTCCTTTTTTTTTTTACCAATGGAACTTTCTCTGTGTACATACTAACGAATCAGCCCTTTTTGAATATCATCTCGAGAACGTGTCTCGTTTACAATTCAATTTGAACGAGTCGCGTGTCACAATTCACTTGACTCCCGGGTACAATAATTGACCGCCGCTCGGGCAAACACTTGCACTTAATTTAACGTTTAATCGAAAACGAGACGGACACCGTCATTGGTCGGACTTTGCCCGTCGTTTCAGTTCGTTTTCCACCGTCTTTCGATCGACACTCGCGTCCTCGTGTTCTGTCTTTCCCTTGCAGAAAAATTCAAATACTCGACACTCGTGGACGAAAGAGACATGAGGTAAGACTGTTCTGGTGTTCTACGAGCGGACGATTGCTTGGTTAGTTAATCGATAGGTTGTGAATTTTTATAAATAAGAAAAGAAAAAAGAAAAATAAGAAAAGAAAAATTGTGAATATATAATTTTTAAAATTATATAATTATATAAATATAATATTATATAATTTTATAAATATAATTATATAATTTTACAAATTATACAATTATATTTATAAAATTATATTATTTGTAAAATTATGATATATAATTTTGTAAAATTACAAATTATAAATAAAAAGAATTTTTATAAATAAGAGGAAAAAATCTGTATATCTTGAATACTTAATCATTAAAACGGGAGAAATTTTTAAACTGTTCCATTCGAGTTACAATTTTCGTGAAACGTTGATGTAACTTTTGTTTCAGTGAAATGAAGAACCAGAAGAATTTGAACAACTCTATTGGGCCCACCGAAACGACCCGACTGAGGTCGAAATTGGAAAACTTCGACGACGTTCTGCCATATGTCGGGGATTATGGAAGATACCAGTGGTTGCTACTACTCTCGTTGCTGCCTTACGGCACAACATACGCGTTCCTATATTTCTCGCAATTTTTCATTACGATCATTCCTGCGGAACACTGGTGCAGGATCGACGAACTAGTAAATTCGAATTTCACCCAGGAAGAGAGGTAATTATAACAAGAGAGGAACGAAAAGATGTGGAAATTTCTTCAAACGTTCGACGATACTTTAAATGCTTCGCAAAGAATAATGCTTTGTTATAATTTACACTTGCAATTAATTTTAAAGTGTAAATATAATTTATTAATAAATATAATATAATTACATAATATAAATATAATACATGATATATTGTATTATATAAATATAAAATGTTATATTATATAAATAAATTATATTATATAAATATAATTTATTAATATAAAATTAATATTTACAATTATAATTAATTTTAAAGTAATCGTCAGAATATGAAGAGTCAAAATGATTGGAAAACATGAAAGATAAAACGATTTTACAATATAATACAGCTTTGAACAAGATTGAATTACGCTTTATAATCTTTCCTTATATGTTCAGTCATTTTGTCCGGTTCGGTTTAATTTCATTTTGCTTGATACGTTTTAATAATCGTCTGCCCGTTCTGTCGTATGTTTAGGATCAAAATAGGGATTCCACGAACGAACGATTATCCGTATTATAACCAGTGTAACCGGAAGGACCTAAACTTTGCGGAGATCCTGCGGAGTGGCGAGGATTTACGCTCATTGGAGTTCCAAACGAACAAAACAGTGGAATGTACTCGGTGGGAGTACAATTTCACGCAGATTCCATACCCTAGTATAGGAACTGAGGTGAAGTATTTACATCGTTCTCTGAATCCTCTAAAAGGCAGTTCAATGTTTTGAATTTAGTCCAAAAATGAAGATCTTTCCGAGTTAAAAAGCAAAACATAATTCTGTTGTCCTTCTTAGATCTACAGAATATAAATTCTATATAAATGAATAAACTTAGACTTCGATAGACCATGAAATTAAATATTAAACATTTCACTATAATATATTCAATAATATCGTACAATGTTGTTAAATATTTGATTTTAGCGTCTCGTACGATTTTATTAATTTAGTCAGAAATGAAGATCTTCACGAGTTAAAAAGCAAAACATAATTCTGTTGTCCTTCTTAGATCTACAGAATATAAATTCTATATAAGTGAATAAACATTACACTTCGATAGATCATAAAATTAAATATTAAACATTACACTATTATTCAATAATATCGTACACTGTTGTTAAAGATTTTAGCGTACGATTTTATTGTACTTTGATATATTCTACGCTCTTTATGAATAACAAAAGAAACGATATTTAAAGAGATGCAAACTCAATAATAAAGAAGTGAGAAGAGAACGCGAAGCAGTCGTGTGTCTTTTCAAATTTTTTGCCCTTGACGATTAATTGTAAACTCTCTAAATAAAATAAAATTTTAAAAGACACGAGTCAATGAAGAAGAACATGTCAATGATAAAACATTAACACTGAAAACGATTGCGAAGCGATTGCCTTTTCACTGACTAACTCTTAGCCCTTGGTGATTAGCTAGATTGGGTATGCGACCGAGAATACCTCGTATCGACGGCGCAGGCCATCTTCTTCTGCGGGTCCATCGTCGGTGGTTTCCTAGTCGGCTGGATCGCCGATCACAAGGGCCGTATCCCGGCTCTGATGTTCTGCAACAGTATCGCCCTTCTCTCGTCAATCGTCACTGCCAGCGCCAACAGTTTTTGGTCGTTCGCCGTTTGTAGATTTCTCACCGGACTGGCGTTCGACAACTGCATCAACATCCCTCTGATTATCGGTAAACTCTCTACAAGCCGGAGGCGTCTTATCGATAAGCTAGATCAAAGTTTTATTCGTCAAAGGTTATTCAACTGTGGACGGTTTCGATTGCAATTTAACACTATTGTGAAACGAAATCTGAGATTTGCTTCTTCTGATAAATATTACAACTGTTCTGGTTTTATATTTTATGCGTTTTGGCGATTATAATATATTATTATATTTTTTTTTTCATATATAATATATATTATAATCGCCAAAATTTATAAAATACCATGTAAAAAATGTATATATATATATACATATATATTATACATATACGTATATATATATTATACATTATAATTATATTTATTTTTTAAATATAATTATAATATATTTTTTATATTTTATTCTATATATGTTATATTTATATTCTATAATTTATTCTTTAATTTTTACATTTTATTTATAATCATTATATATTATAATATATAATAACATTATATGTAATATATATTATAATAATATTTTGTGGAATGTTTTCTGAAATGTTATAAATCATCTGACAAACAGATTTTATGGTTTAATGGGAGAAATTTCTGATCTTCACGGTTCGAGAGCTGTTGTTATTGTCGAAGATAATTATTAATTTAATTTGACATTGTCAAAGGTGAATTATTCTTTCCTTTGCAATTCAACCTGACGTTGATTGTGACAGTTTTAATCATCTGCGCTAATTCAAACTCACCATCAGAAATTCGATCAAATTAACATTTGTAATCGTACAATTATTACGCACAAAGAATAACGACAGTCATTGAATGTCTGCATGTAATAGTTAATCGCTCTACTAATCACGGGCAACCAATTATTCCACAGTGCTCGAATATATGGCCGTCTCGAAACGAACGTTAGTCGTCAACGTCGCGTTTGGCATATATTTCGCGGTGGCTAGCACCATTTTACCATGGATGGCATACTACATCGCCAACTGGCGATATTTCACTTACGTCACCGCCGTGCCGCTGTTATCAGTCGTTATTACGCCATGGATCCTGCCCGAGAGTGCCCGGTAAATAAATCTCTTAATCGCAATCGATTGTTCGAATTCTCAGCTACCGATCTCGAAATCCATGCAAATTCATTTCCCGCACATTTTCATACGACGAATGTTTACTCTGCGCAAGATGGTACGTTTCCAACGGGATGATGGACAAGGTTGTCGAGAAACTCCGCAGAATAGCCAGGATCAATCGTAGAAGTCCGGACCCGCGTATTTACGATGCATTCGTCGTAAGTTCGATCAAAATAGAATTTTATAGATGTTAAATACTTGAATTTTGTGGAACGTTCGAATCTGTCGTCGACAGATATTTGATACAGTTCCGTACTCGCTGCTGGACCGCGGATTTTCATTTCACTTTTCTATTTTATACTGAAACGATGGATTTACTTTGCTATTTTATTTTTATTTTTTTTTTTTTTCATTTTGGACGCTTCTGTGCGAAAGTCCGCAGTTCTAGTATCTAAGAGTTCACTGATTAATCTCTGATTATCCGATAAGTCAGAATGCAAAGGAATATCTTTCTGAATTTAGAAAGTTTAAAGAGTTCCCGATCGTATCTGCTATTGATAAATTTACAAAAAAAAAAAAAAAAAATAAAATTTCTTTGAGAAAAGATAAAATTCCCTTCTCGAATGAACACTAATTTTCACGAGAACTGAAATTATTTTGTTTCGGTTTCTGTTTTAAATACCAAATTATATCATTGCAGAGCAATCTGGAGGCATCGGACAAAATCCAAGAATCAGCCACGGTGTTCGATCTGTTCAAAACGCCACGTCTGGCCAGAAACACTGTCCTTTTGATCGCATTCTGGAAAGTATAAGAAAGTATAACGCTTACGTTTGAAGGAGAAGCTTGACGAATGATCGGTGTTGTGTTACAGGTGCTTCATCGTGATCTCGTTCGACGGCCACGTGTATTCATTAAAACTTATCCAGAGCTCGGTGTTTGTGTCGTTCTCGATCGCCTGCGCCACAGAACTTCCGGCTGGATTATTGCTCACCCTGTTTCTGGACCGGTGGGGCCGTAGATTCTGCGGATTTCTCACTCTGGCGATGACTTTTATGCTCAGTATCGCCGAACTCCTACTCCGTTCCGGTAAATATATATTTTTCTGTTTAGTAATGTTGGAACGATGATGGCGATAGAAGAGATCTGAAATTGCGTACATATATAAGTTGATGGAGGAGGATTTTGAAAACTAATAATTCTAATCAATAACATCAATTTATATTAATATTAATATAATATAATTCAACACATTAGTATCATAAATAATTATTTTAATCATTCTTTGTGTGTTTAAATATCTGTCCTTTCAGGTTTTGATATTTTTATTTTGAATGCCATTAAATCATAGTTTCTTAATCTAAGTTGATATTTTTAAACTGTAAGTTTAGAATGGAGTTTTAAATCAATTTTGTAATTTCTTTTTAAATTACTTTTTTAGTGACAGCCAAATTAGTAATATATCAATTTATATTAATATTAATATAATATAATTTAACATAACACATTAGTTATCATAAATAATTATTTTAATCATTCTTTGTGCGTTTTAATGTCTGTCCTTTCAGGTTTTGATATTTTATTAAATTCCATTAAATCATAGTTTTTTAATCTAAGTTCGGATTTTTAAACTCCAAGTTTAGAATGGAGTTTTAAAATGGAATTTTTAAAACAATTGAATTTTGTAATTTCTTTTTAAATTACTGTTTTAGTGACGGCCAAATTAGTAATGTCAGTGCTGTCGCGATTTTGCCTGAACATGGTAGCCAACATTGCTCTTCAGTATGCAGCAGAGCTCCTCCCTACGCCAGTCAGATCGCAAGGAGTGTCTTTGATTCATATTTTTGGAATAGTGGCGCATTGCTTGGCGCCGTATATCACCGACTCGGTAATTAATAAATCATTGTTATCAAAATCGTTACAAAACTTCTATCTACGTTTTGATGTCTCTTCGGTATATTTGCAATCATAATTTTTCTTCAGTTGAATAGTCCAAAAGACACAATGAACATTGTAAATAAATATTTCTGAATATTCGCTCATTCTAGTAATTCAATGTGTACAGTATCTTTCTCGCAAAAGTATAAAATAGTCATAGTAACCATCAGGATGGATATTTCTCATTTGAAAGTTTCAATTCTTATCTATTACACTACACCTTGCTAAATCTTATCGATTGATTAAACATTTGTTTGTTTATTAGGCTGCAATTTGGGAAGGATTTCCAATGTTGATAATCAGCGCAGCGTCCTTCCTTGGCGCGGCGATTGTTTTGTTCCTACCGGAAACCATGGGTCAGAATCTTCCCCAGACCATCAAGCAAGGCGAAGAATTCGGAAGAGAGCAACGTTTCTGGTCGTTGCCTTGCTGTCACAAATCACCCTTCAATGGGCATCAACATTATCATTCCTGCGAGCGATAATCTAATCTAATTTTCAATAACAATTTCACTGATAAAACACGGTGGGAAGAAAAGGAGAAACGAGGAAAGAGTCGTGTGTTCGTTTCAAAGTTAGAATTATGACGGATTAGTCTGATGATTTTTGTGCGAGAGAGACGAACCTACTTTTGCATCCTACTGCGTTAATCTTTACTTTTATTACTATTTAGCGTTTAAACGTTTCTAAACTTTAGCTCCAAGCAAGAGCGTGCCTAGAAATTGTGTTCCTACGTAATTTTTACCGTTTATCCATTTACTTTAAGAGCTTTCGCAACTTTAATGTTTAGTTTAACATTACGTACGTAAATATAATTGAAAATGTTTCTTTCAAGTTCTTTTAAATCTTCTAGGACAGTGCGTTTAATTTTTTTTTTTTTTTGTTTCTTCTTTTCATTGAGAGAAAAAGATGTTTTAAACGACTATTTATACATGTACTATTTTAAAGACCGCGGGAATTCTCTTTCTTTCAGAATACTTTCTTTACATATCAAATCGTATAATATATCAACGAAAAAAAGTTTTGAAGTTATTATTATAGTCTTAGTAGTAGCAACTGCTGTATTTATTTATCCAAAGCTAGTTTATGCATTTCTGAACGACTGTTTTTATATATTTAAGAGGGGAAGAAAAGGAGGGAAGGAATATCGTAAGCAAATTGTGCCATTGTATGATTTTTCTCATCAGTTTTCGTCGTTGTGCCAATAACAACGCAATCAATCTAAAAAACACTTGGCTTATGCGTATGTGCTCATGATCGTCCGTCTAATTTCACTCGCGCTCTCGCATCCATAGGATTAAAGTTCGCAGAATAAAAACTCCCATGAGCCTTGATTATAAGAAATAATTCTGTTTTTTATTTGCACACACATCAATCTGTGTCCTCCGAACGAAAATAAATTGCTACATTTGTCTAAAATACGTCAGTGTCCGATGATCCTCCTTTGTACACCCAGTCTGGCTCTGTCCTACAATTACAAGCTTTACAACAACGATCACGTACACTAAATTGTTAATAAATTTTCAATTCGTAACGACGTTCGTCAAAAAAAATATACAAATTTGCACGAACACGTCTACTAATTACAATACTGTGTTACGAAAAAATGTCAAAGATCAAATGAGACTTCTCTCGTTTAAAAAAAAAAATTGTCCATTGTATCATATAATAAGGATCGAGTCTGTCTTATAGGTTTCGACAATAATTATTTACAATTGAATTTCTCTGACGTAGGAATGTTTCGAAGTGTCTCAGACTTTGAGAAACGATCGATTGCCTGATACTTGCAACGAGAAATTATGCGTGTATACGGTGGATTTTTAAACGAGGAATTGAAAGCAGGGACTAGTCTTATAAGTACGCGAATGACTCTAACGATCGAATGACTCTGTTTGCTAGAATCATCGTTCGAAAGTGGTGTGACGGAGATTGAGCACTTAGGATGGACAGCTCGGAGGATCGGAAGGAACGTAATTGGGAATAGAAGATATCCGTGTCGCTTCACGGATGAGAATTTTCACGTTATTCGTAGTCGAGCTCGTGACGGAAATTTCGATCCGTTTTCGCCTGAGTTCTAAGTTCTGAAAATTAATCCATTAAATGCCAAATTTAATTCAATAATTGTACTAGTATTAAAATACTGTATATGTATCTTCTTCTATTTCAAGGAATTCTTCCTTTAGAGTTACCGTGAATATTTCTTTTTGCGAATCCCAGTGAGGATAATGGCAGTTAATGGGTTAATGCACATCAATTAGCTACTTTAATGCATTCCATTTGACGAGTGATTGATCACTCACAAAATCAATTGTGTCAAGTGAAAATATTCTTCGTTAATTAATACTGAAGCAAAAGGGAAGAATATATATCGTATCACAGGGCAATTTCAATTCTTAATGTTTCATTGAAATTACGCGTCTGTTCAAATTATGACACAGCTTTGACAGTTTTCCTGAGGTTTTAAAAGCGTACACTACGTTTTAAAAGGGTCGATCGAAACTGCCGATTCGAATCTCGGCGATTCGTGAATTACCTATATAGATACAAAGATGATTCGCAGTAAAACGAGACAAGTTCAAAGCTCAACAACGCGTAAAGAAAGCACTCCTCTCGCGTTTCGAGTGACACTTCTCACAAATAAGTGAATTCTTTGATAAAGGAGGAAGAAAAGAAATGCAGATTTCTCTTTCCAATTTTTAAACTCGAAGGAAGATATATCTTTCTTAAATATTCATATCCGCTTCCCACAATCTGAAATCTGAGTTCTTTGTCATTTCCAACACTTGGGATGATTCTACAGGAAATACTTACGATGTTAATTGTAATATTATTTGAATAATGTTAAATAAATAATAATAAAAGCCTCTTGCAATGCATCTTCAAATCATCGTGAAAGATGATCGACTTGAAAGATACAGTTCGAATAAGATTGGCGTTTAGAATGAAGACACTTCGTCGATGAAACGTTAATTGATAACAAACTTGTACCTCGAGTAATTTGATGATGCTTGTCTCTTTAACCGCGCTGCAACGCAATGGCAGAAGCTGATACTTCTTCCTAATCTCTTTCAACAGCTCTCAACAGCTCTCAGCAGCTCTCAACAGTTCTCAACACGTTCGCAAATATCTTAACACCTAGCATCACACTCGTACATTTAACAACTATATTTACAAAGGATTTGGCAAGTTCCACACGACCAGATCAGTCGCTATAATCTAGTGCAGTCGATCTTTTGAACACTGCCGGCGAAGGCTGGATTCGACAGGCCCTTCTTCTTTCTGTAAGACTTCTTCAACATTTTGCTTCTGAAAAATTGAAGAAAAGAACAACAAAATTATTATCAAATTTATATTGATTCGAACTACTGAATATATGTTATTCCAAATTTGCAATGTTGTTAGTTTTAATTTTGTCTTTGACTATTTGACATTGTTGCATTTGGATTTCTTTGAGAAAATCAATGTTCTACATTTATTGCTCAAGGAAATGGAGGGAAAGGGAAATGTGAACAGAACAATTTATACTTACGAGGATATACACGGGATCCACCAGAAACTTTGTTCCTTGCCAAAGTCGTTACCTTCCTGCAACGTTTCCGGAAGTTCTTGGTTCAGAGTCTCCGGTAAACCGAGCGTCAGAAAAGCGTGTATAAAAGACAGCAAACCGAGAGTAATGAGGGGTAAAGCTGGATCAACGTCCGCCTAAATTGAACGAAACACCTCTTTTCATTTACATTGCCTTCAAGACAAATCGTACTGATCAACTCCAGAAAATTAAATCACTCTCGAGTACAAGCCTGAATCTTACTAAAACGTAATAACGTACAAAAGAACAAAATAAAAAGAATGTATCTTGATTTTTCATAATTTGAAAAGATCTGACGCTTTCTCCAATTGAACGAAATTCAAATACTTTCAATAATTAAACAGAGAATATTGATTATGAAATTGGAAAAGAAAGCCGAGTAGAAGCGTCACGTTGATTATTGAAGTATTGAGAACGTTCAGAGGAATTTCGACTCACTCACCAGATAGATAATATACGGTCCCAAAATATGAGCAACGTAGCCGATGATATGAATCAGAGACACACCCTGAGCTCGCACCACAGTCGGCAGCATTTCCGCTGCATATTGGAAACCGATATTCGCGGCGATATTCACTCCAAGACGCGCTATAATCGCCATGGCGACCGTTGTCGGGCCTTGAACAGATTGAGAAATATGTAAATGCCACGAACGACGCATTACGCGATTCGCTCAATTAACACTGGACTTGTCGAAATAATTAAAATGACCAATTGAAAAATACACATACCTATTATTGAAGAATAAAGAGTATAATTCAGTATCAATGACAATGAAAAAATTGTGCCGCAGATAATCCACAATTTTATCGACAAATTACTCAAATCTTCAAAATTACCAATTGGTCATTTTTCGTACTTTGTAAAATGTATTATTGTAATATTGATTGAATAGACATCGAAGGACTAAATTTATGTATTTCAGATTGTAAAACATACATAAATATTTAAAGTATATATGTATGTTAATATTTAAAGTATATATGTAACAACAAATATGTAAAATATGTATTATAATATTAGTTGAATAGAAATTAAAGGACTAAATTTATGGTTCAATTTATCTTTACAGTGCACACATTTGTACAAACACAAGCATCCAATCACCATCGTTCATCTTCTTGTCATCCAACAAAAACATTATTCTTGCTTGAAACACGAACTCACATTTCTCAATCTCTCAAACTTTCATTCGGGACTTTCACTCGATGAAGTCGAATTTTTCTTCCTAACATTCAACAAGATTGTTTTCTAGAATAATTTCGACTGCGGCAAGAAAGCCATCGATCAGAGCAAGAAAGAATAAAAAAAAGAAAGGGAAGTGATATCAACTAATTATAAATAAAAAAAAACTAATACAAACATTCTTCATGTTTTATAGAATAATTTCGACTGACAAAGTCATCGATCAAAGAAAGAAAGAAAGAAAGAAAAGAGGAAAGGAGGAGAGAAAAGTAACACCAACTATTGGTACTAAAGAACTGATATTAACTCGTATTTTATAGAACAATTTCGACAAGCCATTGATCAAGAGTGGAGAAGAATCTGAACGGAGAAAGGGAAGAAAAGAAGAAGTTACCAGCGGGTGTGGAGATGGCAATGAAGGAGAAAACGGCGCAGAGCAACATCGATGCGAAGCCCATCCATCGCCTGCCCCATCTGTCGAGGAAGACGGCGAGCAATATGGCCGCCGGAAGTTCCGTAAGGGAGGCTAAGGAGAACGACATGAAAATGTCAGGGTCCAGAAGTTTCATGTTCCAAACGTGGCCGTCGAATACCCACACCATCATCAACCTGGAAAGGAATCAGTCGAGTCATGGATAAATCACACCGTGTATTATTGGTCCTTGGCGTGTCGGGATTTCCCGATGTTAATTATACGCTTAAACAGATTCTTAAACCACATGAAATGCTCCATATACCTTCACCCTTGTAATTTATGTCTATTTCATGGTAATTCGTGTCTACTTTAATTCTGGTTTCATAGAGATAGGGAAGTACTATGAGGTTGATTGATGGTTTCAGGTGATATAACAGTGTGATAATAGCGGACTGTCGTAAATAGGGTCATAAGTATAATTATAGATTCTGTCTTTGTTAATTCTATTAATAATAAATTTACTATTAATTACTATTTAATTAAATAATACTAATTTACTATTAATTACGATTTGCTAAATAATACTAATTTACTATTAATTACTATTTACTAAACAATACTATTCACTAAATAACTATTACTATTAATAATACTATTAATTACTGTTACTATTACTATTAATAATACTATTAATTACTGTTACTATTACTATTAATAATACTATTAATTACTGTTACTATTACTATTAATAATACTATTAATTACTGTTACTATTACTATTAATAATACTATTAATTACTGTTACTATTACTATTAATAATACTATTAATTACTGTTACTATTACTATTAATAATACTATTAATTACTATTTACTAAACAATACTATTTACTAAATAACTATTACTATTAATAATAAATTTACTTAATTCTATTCTATTAGTAAATTCGTTAATTCCATAAATATCGTAGTTCTTTGTCAATACTATTTATATAAAAACTAGAAAATTTAAGATCGTGGAGTAAAAACTTTCTATTGCTATACAAGTATGCAAAAATAAGAGATTTTATTCCTGCATTTACTTCTGAATTCCATTTAATCTAATCTAGAATATATGGGAAAAATTCAAAATTGTAATACGAGATTGATTCTAAGTCATAATTGAAAATACGAGAAGCGTAATGTATTATAAATATAAAATTAAAAGTACTAGGTTGAAAGTACACTCCATTTCTACGTCTTTCTATGATAAATGTAATTATTGTCAGGAGTTTACTCTTTGGTCTGTCTAATCGAGCTAATAATAAAAAAGTCAAACTCACCAATAAACGATGAGCATGACAGTAATGCGAGCGAGCCGCGGCATCTTGAAGAGATGAAGCACAGTGTACTGATTATGCAGATGATCCTTCTCGGTCAACGACTTGCAACTTTTCTCAAACTCGTCGAATATTTCCTGCTTCACCTCTTTGCCATTTACTTTAGCGAATTTCTTCAGCATCTCGATCGCCTTGTCGATCTTGCCACTGGTTATGTACCAACTACGAGAATAAATGAAACACACGGACGTTATTAAATGTCAACTCTAAAAAAATCATCATCTCGATCAACGTTTAATGTCGGCAAGTTTTTTGTACATCTCTGTATAGTACTTTGTATAGTACTGTGTAAGTATATAATATTGTCGAACTCGTTTCAAACGTGATCAATCATTTACGTAGCACAGGAAAAACTGCAGCGTCTCGTTAAGAGAAAAACGTTGCGATGTTCTTTTATTTATGAGACTGAAGAATTCTGGCGGAATTTTCGGTTATATTCTTGGGTAAAATTTAACTGATTTAATTTACCTGATTTAGATTTTTAAAGATTTTAGATTTTAGGAAAATTGTCTAATCTGTCTAATTTAGATTTTTAAGGATTTTAGATTTTAGGAAATTTGTCTAACCTGTCTAATTTAGATTTTTAAGGATTTTAGATATTAGGAAATTTGTCTAGCCTGTCTAATTTAGATTTTTAAGGATTTTAGATATTAGGAAATTTGTCTAATCTGTCTAATTTAGATTTTTAAGGATATTTCAAGATCTCCGTTGTAAAATAGAAATGAGAAATCAAGAAACGACGACAAATCCGGAAACAATCGAAAGATGAAACATTCATCGTATACTTTATAATTTACGTGAAAGAATTTCTTCAATTAGAAAGAAGATTACCGTGCACTTTCGGGAACGATCCATGGTGTTATGAACGCGACCACCATAGGACACGCGGTAACCATGCTCAGGATCCTCCAGTCTGAGATCCAATATGCAATCCAAGGCAAAAGGCTCGCGGCTGCCGCGAAATAAAGTCCAAACGACATGTTCGCCACCAAAGTTCTGTACTTCGGTCCGACATATTCGATTACTGAAATGATATTCATGTTACTTGATAATAATATATTGCAAGTGTAATTAAATAATATATCGTACTTTAATTACACCGTTGTCGAGGTCTTTTCAAATTTTCTGTCAATTTCACTCCTTCATTTGACATTTTCATATTTCTCTTTTAATACGAAAGTAATAAAATTTGATCCGAACTGTCGATACCACAAAATTCTAACGAAATCATCAGAATTAAATATCATAACGCACATGAGAAATCAAATATACAAATGTACAAAATGTAATACGTGTGCAGAACTCTTAATTGCAAAAAGGAAAAAAAAAAAAAAAGAAAATTTCATATTACAAAATATCCAAAAGGACAAAAAACTTTCGCAACGTTCCAATTAAAACAGGATATCACGGGTCAACGAACGTTCGTTAGAAACACACGTGTTACAATCGTTATATAAAACTCAATCGTCATCGGTGTGGTGCAATTAAATCGTAAATTACGGCGCTTCTTTTTTCTTTTTTTTCCACCGGCATCCGTTATCCTCTTAATAATCGTTCGCTTTTATCCCGATTGTGACTCACCGATAATGAAAAGCACGTTGAAGCAGTTATCGAACGAGGAACCAACCACCAATCTCGCCAGGCAGAAGCTCCAGAAAGTGTTGCAGAACGCGGTGCCAATGGACGCGACGAAGCCCACCGTGTTGCACGCGATCAACGCTGGAATTCTGCCATAATGGTCGGCTATGTAACCGAATATTAAGCCTCCAAGAATGCTGCCTACGAAGAAGGCCGATTGTGCCGCCGAGCCGAGGAATGCGTGATCGCAGACCCACTCCAGCTGAAAACAGAAACGGGACGATGCTTTATGACCAGCGGCTTTATGGTCGTAGAAAATTGATGCAACATCCGAAAGAGAGAATGAAGAAGAGATGGTGAGAGGACAAATTATTCGCATAGTGCTTTATGTGGACATATATATGTTTGGAATTCAGGAACTCTACGATTTTCTCCTGGATTTTGCTACTTTTCTTCTTTTAATAATGAAATAACAGAAACGGATTTTAGTAATAATACAAGGTCACTGAAAGTGATCACTGAATGATATAAAACAAAAATAACTTTTTTTTTGTATAATAACACGTGTTTTGTAAATTTTTTATTATTTCATTTGGAAATGTAATTAATGGATTTTTTCCAGTATTTTTTTTTTTATAACCTATGAAAGGAGAAAATGAAATAGTGAAAATGAACAAGTTATGACTCTTTCGAGCCCTTCAGTTTTCCACTGGCCACGCTATAGAATAATATTTTATAATATATAATATATTTTAACGGAATAATATTTAATAATAAATTTAATATAGAATAATATTTTATAATATTTTATAATATTAAAAGAATAATATTTTATAATAAATAATATATTTTAACGGAATAATATTTAATAATAAATTTAATACAGAATATTTTATAATATTTTATAATGTTAAAAGAATAATATTTTTAATAATTAATTTAACATAGAATAATATTTTATAATATATAATATATTTTAACGGAATAATATTTAATAATAAATTTAATATAGAATAATATTTTAAATATATAATATATTTTAACGGAATAATATTTAACAATAAATTTAATATAGAATAATATTTTATAATATTTTATAATATTAAAAGAATAATATTTTTAATAAAAATTAATTTAATATAGAATAATATTTTATAATATACAATATATTTTAACGGAATAATATTTTAGTATGTAATAGAAATATTTTTTTAGCAATAAATTGGAAATAATAGGACTTATTGTTAAATAGCAATAAGGATAGTAAAAGATTGGAGATGCCAATGAATTGCAATTATAAATACCAAGCGACTGTACTGTTAAATCATAATCAAATTAAATTTTGAATACGTGACAATTGTTCTGCTTAAAAACAACGATAACGACAGTGGTCGTTGGATATAGAAATTATTGTTCAATTGTCTCATGCAAATTTACCTCGACAGCAATGGATCTGTATGGTATCATCGTGTGATTGAACGTCCATCCATATTGACACGGTTGGACTGGCCACGATGGATCCGCTTTTGTAACACCTTTGTCCAACATCTCCGTGTAATTCACATTGTACATGTTACATCGCGAGAACCAAGTCGCACCTTCTAGTTTCAGTTCCTCCGATGATGCCGGCGGTATCGACATATTGATCCTAAACGACAAAGGGACACAAAAATCTTCAAAGCCAGAAATAATAATGTGATAAAACCATATTTCAAAGAGTAATTTCAGTCTGGTCTCTCTGCCCTCCAAATAGAAACGAGGACAGATTGGAAAAGTGATCTACGGAGATGCTATGCAGGTATGCATAATTTTAATTAAAACGTGAATTGTATTTTCTCTCTATTTAATTCAAAAGCGCGAAAGAATTCAGTAGAACAAGAACGAGTAATGAAAGATAAAAGAGGGCTAAAATTATACTTTTTCTCGTTGGGGATTAAAAGGAAATGTGGGAAGTACGAAAAGTAATAAAAGAACAGAGATGATATAAAAACGTGAAAAATCGAGAATAACCTCTCTTATCTGTCTTTAATCTAAATCTGATTGCACTTGTCATACGATAATAAAACGCAACACGATATTCATGTTGATACATAATAAGTGATATGTATGTTAGGATAATGTAACAAGTGCTTCTAAAAATACGATTTGATATATAATCTGATCGAGAATCGCTCAAAATATAATTTTCTTATTTTAAATTAAATCCCTCGTTCCTAAAATAACGAAAAGACAAAGCAACGTACACCTGCAGACAGACACAAACGAATTTTTTGATAATAATGAATAGTAGATGACAATTTTAAATATAAAACATAATAATTTTTCTGTAACTTAATAATACTAAATAAATGTTGTTTTAAATCCAGCTGGCTGAGAAAAACACGTAGAAACGAGAAGAAAGAAAAAGAGAATGAAACAACAAAAAAAAAAAGAAAGCAGATAGAGAGACAAAAGTTGGAAGGTCCCAATTGTACACCTAGGTATCAATTATGATTCAAGATTTAATTACAAAATCGCCGCACGTCTCGATGAGTCTATTTCTAATCAAACGAAAGCAACCAGAAGCGAGATAGATACGAGGAATCGCGCGAAACAAGAAAATGTTTCTTAGTCTAACGACTAGTTCGCCGAACACGTGTGCGTCTAGAATTTATCTGCGGGTCGTTGACCGCAAACTGGTTTCCGGCGAGCCTCCGATCGGTCAGAAGAATCACTGATCTACAAAGCGTCAAGCGTGATTCAGTGGGAAACCACACGATTTTCCTCGTTCGCCACGTCACAAGGAAACCGAATCGCGAACCGCGATTCGTTGGAAACGAGCCACGAGCTTGCGTCTCCCTGTTTTCCCGCCGAACGATTCCTTGCGGTTCTTGAAATAAGATATATACACGGCAAAGACGTTGATTAACATCGTGGAAGCTCGTTTACAGGAGTAATTAATTGGTAGGATAAGATAGTTTGGATAATCGAGTAGCTCAGGGCGAGAACAGGAGATGCTCGGGGTCCTCTTGCGGATATGAATCAATACTATTCGTGGACTACTGATGTTTATGAGGATTTCTGAAGATAGAAAATTGTTTCTTACAATTATTAATAATAATTATCAACAGGTTGCAACGCTAACGAAAGTGTTCAGTAACAAGACAACTTATTTAAATTGATGGCTGCTCCCTTAGCTCAGGAGATGCTCGGGATCCTCTTGCGGATGTGAATTAATACTATTCGTGGGCTACTGATGTTTATGAGGATTTCTGAAGATACGGAATTGTAGAAAATTGTTTCCTACAATTATTAATAATAATTATTAATAGGTTAGCAACGCTAACGAAAGTGTTCAGTAACAAGACAACTTGTTTTTAAGTTGATGGCTGCTTCGTAAAAGAAATTTTAACCTCGTAAATGAATTTTTTCCCAAGGATTCTCGTGATTTAACGAGCAGCCGTGTCGCGCAAATGTCGTGAATTAAAAGAAACAAATTGCGCGCGATACGCTGTGTTATCACCGCTGAGAAAATGAAACTTCCGTACAAGTGGAAGATTCTCTCGACGAGAATATTTATTACGACCTGCTTTGAAAATGAATCAGCCTTCGCGAAGAGGTTGCCGCGCATGGCTTGAAGAAATACATACTATGTATTAAATCCGTCCGTTTGCTGAAGGTGATCAATTGTAGACACCGAACGGAATTTCCAACGAGAGCGTGCATTGATTTGTTATGGATCTTTCCAAGTTTTCAAATCTGTACTTTTAGAATGAAGATCGATACTGTACCAACGACAATGAAAAATTGTCGATGATTTAAATCAATGTAACTCCGTAATAAGTAATCATTCTAAAGCACGGAGCCTCTATTTTGTCACTGTCGACTTCGGTTTTTTCAAAGATGATTTTTCAAAGAACCTTTTTTTTTTTTGAAAATTATAAGAATTCGGACGAATGTAAAAACATTAAAAAATTTTATTTCATTTCATTTAGATCTATCATAGTCTTGAAGATCGAAATCTTTTCTTTACAACGATCTCTTAAAGAAACTTGTTGCTCGATTTTTTTTCACCATTTTATTAAACTTGGAATATTAGAGTTGAATGACGAAATGTCAGAGTTTCTTGAATTTTGTCGTTCAATCCTAATCCTCAATGGTGAAAAAGAAAAATCATACAACAAATTCCAAGTGATAGCCTTTAAATTGATGATAGATGTAATTACGGAGAAAACTTTTCACATTCAATTTTGAATTTCTACAAATTTCGAAAGAAAAATATCCTTATATTCTCATTTGTTACATGACATTTCTGAAAAAAAGAAACAAATTCGAAACTGTTAAAGAGGCTTCATACTTCAAAATAAGACCAAATTGATCGGTCATGATGTTTCACAAAGTTGTGTCAGTTTATAATTATCGACAATATTTGAATACAATCTACTCTATCTTCCAAGCATAACGAAACATTGTCGTTCGTTTCACGATTATTTCGACGTTCTGTAAGAAAGAAAAAACGTTCGCTCACTTTTGTTCGTCCGTAAAGTTCCGGTTGTTAAGCTCTGGCACGGTGCACCAGTGTTCAGCTGGCAGTAGCGTGATGAAGAACTGCGTGAAGTAGAGGAACGCGTAGACGAAGGTGAATGGCAGCAGCACGATGAAAAGGAACCATTGGTAGCGGCCAGCCTCGCCGATGTACGGCAGGATGTCGTCGAAGGTCTCGATCTTCGGACGTTCGCCCTCCTCGGCTTTCACCGACTCCACCATGACTGTCATTATCTCGATCTCTGCGAATCAACGATCCTCGATCACCTACTTTCCTTGAATTGCAGTTCAAGATGGATTGAATACAGGGTGAGTCTCGTAACGTGACGACATCAGATAAAATATCTGTTGTACGAAAAAATGTTTCAGATGGAAGTTGCACGGAGACATATAGTACTGTTCATCAGTTTTATGTTATTTTGCTTTTTCATCAAGATACGAAGGTCATCAATTTTTTAAATAGAATAATTAACATGTGAAATAGTTCTCTGTTCAGGTTTCAGTTTTTAACACGAATTTATATGAATATATGTTACATATATATACTATATAGTATATAAATAAATATATTTATTTATGTTATATTATACTTTATTTATATTTATATATACTATATAATAATAATATAAATATACTAATGTAATATAGATAATATAATATAATACAATACAATACAACATAATATAATATAATATAATATATTATAAGTATAGTTATAATATATATTAGTGTAGGTATATATTATAATATATTATAAGTATATTATTGTAATTATTGTAATATATTATATTATATTATATTATATTATATTACATACTATATCTAGTAGAACTACCCTTTGGAACACTAAATTTTAATATTAATAAAAATCGTTAACTTCGCAAAAGGTTTCTACGATCATCCAAATACCGTTGGATTTCTCTTTTCATTATACATAGAGATATTAAAATCATCTCCACAGTTTCTCATGATTAACAATGTGTCGCCATCTTTTCATTAACCCTAGGTTCAAGGTGAAATGCTGAAAACCGGACGAGGAGGATGAGATGTAAAGTCGAGATGAAAGCAACTTTGATACTTTGTCTACTTTATGCCACTTTTTTTTTTTTTTTCCTTGCCGGTCGACGCGATGTAATCTTGGGCAAAGGCTGGCACTCAAGGCGGAACAAAGTATATTGTTGATGTAGTTGGGAAAAAGTGATTTGGATTTTTACTAGAGAAAGAAAGAGCCTTGACCATTTTCGCAAGGTTATTCGTTGCAATCGCCCGTACATTCTAATTAGAGTGTCCTTTAAATAAATAAATTTCTTTTTTATTCGCCTCTTTCCGCAAGTGAGAAACGAACTAGAATTTAGGATATGATTAGGATTGTTAAATAAAATTGTGAGGAAGAATTTTACGCGAATTTTACGTATTTTAAGATTTTTGCGGGCACTGCCAAAGGAATAGAATTGTCTAAAAAGTTTATCATATTATTCGTTATTTTGTGTTATTATTGGGCAAACATTTTTTCAACTCCCGAGTTTACCTAAATGCATAATACTCCGCGTATAATCCAAATTAGAGTGTCCCTCGAATAAATTCTTCCTCCATTAAATATCTTTTTCCGAGTAGAAAACGAATATTGTACAAAGGATGAAAATGGAGTAACGTAAACAATCATTGCCAAAGCATCGTTTGTGCCTTTTGCGAGAGAAAAATTACAACGTGTGACATAAAATGTATCACGCGTAATCTCGCGAGACATTCATTTAAATAACGAAGCACTGTTTCCTGCCAGTTTCCTATTTATCTTGACATGAACGACGAACATTATACACGCTTCTTCTCTTTTACAGACTTAATTCAATTGTGGAAAAAAACAAAGACCTGCAGAGTCAAGAAGCCACAACGACAATTTTAATTATCTTCGAAGCTGATTGACAAAAATTGACAACGATTCGTTGGCGAACGATTATTATAGAAATTATCCGGCCATGAGTTTCCAACAGATCCGATTTCATTAGCAAAAGTGTAATTACAAAAATTACTGGTTTGGTTAAAGCAGCATCGTTAAAGGACGATATTTCATTTTAATCGCGGAAGGTCAACGTTGAAATCAGCCATTTCCATGATAAAATGTACGCGCGAAAAGCTTTGCTTCCTTCCGTAATTGAGTTCTTAATTTGCCGCCAATTAAACGCTTTTTCCAACCGCCTTCGTCCTCTGAGAGAAATCTTTTTATCCCCGAGAAGAGAAATCTCCTTTTACGCGGACTCGTTTTATCAAGCATCGTGCAGCGATATTTGCGCCAGGCATTTACATTCATTCGATCAGGATCTTAATCTTGCAAATCGCTTCGAAATTACATCGATCGTTAAATCGGCTCCGCGAGATCGTAAGTCCGAATTGTGTAACCATGTTTTCGTTCGACGAAATATTTATGTAAATATCATTTGTACGTTTCGCTCGAGATTTCTGTATATATTTCTCAGTTCAACGAGACGGAAGAGAAAATATCTTCATTTCGTAAAAGATTGGAGCACATATAATGTAGTTTAAAAGAAGTATCTGAACGTTTTGAATATGCCTACTGTGTTGTACGAAATTTTTTGAAATTTCACTGGCACTGTGTCGTAACTATGATTGTATCGGTATTTCAAGCAAATCTGCAAATGTATATACTCTCTCAAAAATTTGGTAATAACTTCTTATAATAAATAAATAGTTTTTAGCAATTTTCTAGTAAATATATATTTTATTCTTTTATAGCATTGAAAGATCGATTCATTTTTTTAACTATATGATAGTATTTCCGCTCGTTGATATTTCGAAAGTTTCTTATAGTATTAATTTGACTAATTATTAGTTACTAGTTCAGTCACTAGCGAAATTTTTTTTTGTAGAAGATTTAATGTTAAACGAAAACGAGATGATTGAAGTGTGGCGCGTATAAATGTTTCGTAAGTCTAGAATGTTATTTACTATTGCTATTATAATTGATGTTCGTTAATATCGACGGAACTGTGACGTAACCAAGCCATTTTCTATGGCGAAATTTGCATAGAAGAATTCTCATTGGCGCGGAATGGCGATTATTTTTTTTTAAATTGCAGTTTGGTATTCGCGAGTCTTCAATTTTTCAATCATTCAGATTTTTTTTCAATCCTCGAGTTTCTAAATTTTCACACCTCTCGCATCTTTGAATTTACGAATCATTCGAATTTTTTAATCTTCGAGTTTTTGGATCGTCGGATCTTCAAATCTTTTAATTCCTTAGTACTTCACTCTTCAAATTTTCAACTGTTTTAATTGAAAAGAATACACACACATATGTATACATATACGATAGATACGAAATAAGAAAATTGAAAGAACTATTTAACACACTCGATCCAATATCTCGAAGAAAGTAAATTACATGCAAAATAATTTAATCATTGCAGAATCGTAATTATTTTAATAGTAACTGCGTACGAAGAATTCTCTTCGACAAAGAAGTAGCCATTCGTGATAAATTGTTTACGTCGTACAATGATCGACCAAGTTAATGCTGATTTCCGGATTGCGTGCGAAGCGTGCAATAATACGCATTTCTATCTGAACATCTCTCGTTGAACTATAATCAAACTAAATTAATACGTGTGACGCGCATTTTTCCACTTTAAAAAAATTCACACGCGTCCTTTTCACTGTCCTCCATCTCGCAATTCCTATATTTCCAGACTTCGTCCAACGTCACATCGTGCCGATAATTTATGCAAAATACACGCTGCAATATTTCTCGTCACAAGGCTTTTCAAATTCCTTCGAATTATCAAAATTTTTTTACAATTAAAATTTAAAAGCCTCTCGAACTCCCTCGAAAACTGTCAAATTCTTTTATAATTAAAATTCTTTCTATAATTGAAATCGTTTCAAAATGAAAACGACATCTCACAGAATCAACAGACAAAAGTGTTCGAGCGTCGAATATTTTGTAGTGTCACTCCTCTTCATTTCGCCGATCATAGGGAAGATTGGCTGCCGTTAGAAGCGAAGTCGAACGATCGTTCCACTTTATCACGTTATTACGCGTGGTTAAACGCCTCCCGATATTTCACGTGCATCGAATGAATTCCAATGAATGGCTCGATCGCGTTCGTTTTCCCCGATCGTTTCGATGGTGAGAGAAACCACGGGGCCCCGCGGCGAGGAATCACGCGTGCAAACTGCACGGATCTCTGTTAGCCGCGACCCTGCTCGTTAATTAATTCTTCTAGGATGTAATAACTGTCGTTAGGCGTGTCCTCGCTGTGTTGTAACAGACATAGCTCCCCCCCCCCATGCGATCGATGAAGAATGATCGTCCTGTAATCGTTAACGCCGCTCGAGTTATGACGATCGTTACACAAGCCTCCATTTTTAATTGGCGTCTAGCTGGATAAATTACTTCGATCGAAGGAAAGATCGGTTTTTCGATGCTACGAGCTGCGCGCTGATGCGTGCTTCTGCGCGATCTGTTCCTGAATGATTATCTCGGTTGAAGTTGCTCAGTTTTGTCGATGTTGACGATAAATTAGTATATATATATATATGTAAATAACGTATGTTTATATACAAGAGCATTTTCATGTTGATATATCGTATGTTGTTTCATGTGGTTCTTCTTTTGTTTTGTTCTGTTTTTTTTTTTTTTTTTTTTAGTTTTTTTTTTTTTAGTTTTTTTTCTGTTCTGTCTTGTAACAAGCAAAATTATTATGTGACAAGTAGCTTAGCTGAGTATTTTCATAGTCAGATTATTGCCAGAAGTAAGGAAATTGTTATTATTTAATATTAATATTAATTAATTGGTAATTGCCATTAAATTGTTATTATTTAATATTAATATTAATTAACTGGTAATTGCCATTATTTAATATTAGCAATTATGTTTGAAGCAGTATGTATGGAGGATGAGAAGATCTATCTAATCTAATCCAGTACAATAATATTAGGGAGGGGGAAACTTTTGTGGATTTATTTACACGAAATTCGTATAAATGACATTGAGCCATAAATGAAACAAGTTTTTATCTTTGTTCGTACAATCTTTTCAATTGTACAAAAATATAAAATTGCTTCAACAGCTGCAGTTCAACAATCGTGTTTCTGTCTAGATAAAAGTAAAAGACTCGTACACCTTTAGTGATTACGGAAACAAAAAACCTGCTACCAATCTTATACTTTGACTGGTCTAGTTGTTTTTTTTTTGTTTCAAGATTGAATGGCACTGTCAAGAAACTTTTGACTCAAACAAGTCGTGTTATTTAAAGATTAAACAGGTTCTTACCACGGATTTATCAGTTGTTTCTGAAAGAACTCGTATTTTATAAAGTTTTGAAAGGTTTGGATTAGACAGATTTATCCCGTTTCAAATACAACTTGATCGTCAGATGACATTAGAATGAAGAAATCAACAGAAATTAGTCTATTAAGAAGGTCAAAGTCTTAAGAAATCGAATATTTCTCTTCTTCGATCAGTGTGAGAATGAATGAGTTGTAAATTAAAATTGACAGAGATTAGCAGAAATTCTAAAGTCGATAATATTTTTAATCTTCAGCACGTTAATGTGAAATTATCAATACTTTTTTTTTCACAAAGAAAGATTCTTAAAGGACTTTACGATGGTTTTTTTATTTGTTGACTCGATATATTTTCATAGTATATACAAGTTCCGTTATTATCATCAGTCTATTATATCTTGTGCTTAACAAGACACAGTTTTTAAGAAATATTTAACAAATCACTTATTCTTGTTTGTTCTAGCACGAACGTCTCAGTAACTGAATCAACTAAAGAGAGAGAAACTGACGTGTAACATATTGAAGCCTTTCAAGAAATTCTAAGAGACATTTTCACATCTTTTACAAATATTATTTTATTATCTGTTTTTTTCTATATTTTTTGTTTCTTTTCACTGAAATTAGTGGACGAAGTTCATGCAAAAATTGTTCGTGATAATTATTGAAATATTACAAATTAAACGAATATAAATAATTATCGATAGAAACAAATAATATACGAATTAAAATTCATGATTCGCTCTACATTAATATATTTGGGATACGAATAAACATATTTGTTCTTCTATTTTGAAGACCTAACATTAAAGTCGAAAATGGTCATCTAGTAAATACAAATCTCGTGCAACAGATCATTATTACTCGTGACGTCTAACGATGCTCGTTATCTCGACAGACTTATTAGCGTTCAGATTATAATTAAAACTCGTCGTGAGATGAAATAAAGGGACCGAGTAGTCACGAAGAAATGGTACTTGGAACGAAAAGGAGAGTCAAGGTTTTCTTTCGTCAGATGATGTTTACTTTTCGTGAAATGTCCAAGTTAATATATATAATTCACTGTAAATTCCGCTTCACTCGTGATTTGGAAATTCAACGAAATTTCATTAACGAGAACGAGAAGTATCTTCCTTTTTTGTTTCTTGGCGAAATAATAAATAAAAATCAATCAAGATACGCGAAACATTAAAAAAGTTTATTAACGCTAGAATTAGACTCGTGTATCACGATTATATTGGCAAAAATTTGATGCAAATCTTCAAACGTACTCTTCTGCTCAAAAATTTAAGGTTACATACTTGTCTGTCGACAAAATATGGAAAAAGAAGAAGCGAAAATATTATCACCAAATATAACAATGGAAGAAACATATATACAGGGTGTTTCGTAACTTGTGGAAGCTGATTGTACGCCTAAAAATAATGAAAATATATATGTCCTATCTGTCTTCGTTTATAAGATATAATGAATTTTATAAACAGAGCAAACTCTCTGTCCGACCTCTCTTTCCACAGACCGCAATAGTTTGTAAGCGTTATTTGTTTACAAATAATACTTACTTGATATCTTTCGTTTCTTGTACTTGGTTCCTGCAAATGTGTGAACGTGAAGAGAGTTTCGAATCTACCATACATTTCATTGATTAAGCTAGTTTCACCAGGGATGGTATATTCAATTTTCATAATAATCATAATTAGGATGAAGAAAATCCACACGTTATTGTGCATTCAAGACATCAACACCAGTTTAGTTTAAACGCATGGGCAGGAATAATTGATAAATTTTTAATTTTAATTGGACCTTTTTTTCTTGATGGGAAACTTAACGGGCACAAAGTACGTTGATTTTTTTGAGCACGCGTTTACACGAAATATTAGAGGAAGTCCCAGACGATATTAGACTTCGTATGCGATTTATGCATGATGGAACTCTGCCGCATTTTAGCCGAGTGGCTAGGCAATTTTTAAATCGACACTTTGCAAATAAATGGATTGATCGTGGAGGTCCTATTGCTCGTTTGATCTGAATCCATTAGAGTTTCATTTGTGGGGACAAATCTATTGTATACGCAACATCGATTGAACATGCTGAAATACTATAGAAATAGAATAGAGCAAGGCTTTCGACAAATTCGAGAAACACCAGGAACGATAGAGAGAGTAATCAGATGAATGACGAGACGCGTGCAGGCTTGTCTTCAAATGCAACGTGGTCATTTCGAGCATCTTTTGTAAAAGTAATTAAAACAGAAAATTCATTGTATCTCATAAACGAAGACAGATAGGAGATATATTTATATGACTTTTTTTCATTATCTTTAGCTGTACAATCAGCTCCCGAAGTGGGTCCCACAAGTTATACCTGTATATATATTTTTCGTGATATTTATAGCGAAATTTCAAAACACGTAATTGCCCAAATACCTTCAAGATCATCAAGGACCATAAAACAAGACTCACAAAACACATTTACCTTTTCTCTACTTGTTCAAGAGGAACGTCCGACTTTACTCGACACACGGTATCACAGATCTCGACACGGTCTCCGCAGAAACTTTTTCGAATCGGTCACAAAAGGAAGAATAAAGAAACAGAAGAAGACCCAGCTTCTCTCACTTGGCACCAACTTCGGAAGGATTTCTTCTCGGACTCGACGAATTCGACTTCGAACGAAAGATATCGCGGCTTTTCGTTTCGTTTCTTTTCTTTCCTTCGTTTCCTTTTTCCCTTTTTGTCCTTTCACTGGCGAGGATCCAAAGAAAGAATGGCCGACGAATCTCTCGCGAACGACTCTCGCGAACCTCTGGCTCTCCACGGTGCACGTGCTCGATCTCGATCTCGTGACAGTGATCTTGGTGTGGCACGCGCGATTTCTCGAAACGGCGCGGCTACATCGTCGTTTAAAAGCGGGGCACGCATCGACTGTTCGCCCCGTGGACAATTAGCGAGGCTTTATAGACGCGTGCAGACGAAAGACCCGAGCCCCACCAGCCTCGTGTCTACGGCCATTGGACGACGCCTTTGGCCCCCCGAGATCATCACGTCTCGAGTAAATGCTCGACTCGACGACGTCACTGGAGAACTGCCGGGGATTTCACGATTCCGTAGCCGCTCTCGCCTCTTCGCGTCGCGTTTCGTCGCGCCGGGTTTCCTCGTGACTCGTCAATCCTTCCTTTTTCTTCCTGCTTTTTCGCGCCGTGTCGCGTGTGTTCGACAAACGTTCACGCGACAAGAGAGCCCGAGACACCGCAGGTGAGTGTACGTTCACACAGTATCGCTGCGTCCGATGTCGAGCGATTAGATGATTGTAGTTGATAAGTTTGCAAATGTGTTGCGTTTGGTTAGACGACTCGTTTGTTAGTGATTTTTTTTTTTGGTTAAATTGTCGTTTTTGATAGTAGTTATTCTTATTGCAATCACGAGTGGCAGGAATCCTTTTGTTACCAATAGTTTTGAAAGGAATAGAATGATTTCGATCAAACTCTTGGCAGAGAGATTAATTTGGAAGGAGTTTCGGAAATATCGGAGCACGTAGGATTTGAAGTTCAGCGAAGTATGTGAGTTCGAGGTTTAATAAAAATTTATCACAAAGCAGGAGCTATCGCAAGAATTTGCGAAATATGATTTACGAAGTACTTCTTTGAAATCTGGTAGGAGGAAGAAAAGCACGCGTTGACGAATTTGCAAATAGATAAAACGTGACAAAGTTGAAATAAATTTCAAGTGAGAACTTGCAATAAGATATCTATTTAGAATTTAGAAAAATGATTTAATTATTTGTTGACTTAATTTCACAAGCGGCGAAACAAGCCGATTCTTTCAATATCCTTCCAACAGTCCTCTAATTATGAAAGGACGCGGCAATATTTTCGATTTTCGAGAAACAAAGTAATCGATAATTCGAGGCGAACATTCGCCGAGTAATGAGATGTATTCGCGAAATTGTAGGTTTAAAAACGCGAAGTCTCGTCAAAGGCAAGGACTTCAGAAACCTGATACCCTTGAAAAGAGGAGAATTGCTAGTTGCTCGCGCGGCTGCAAGATCTCTTTGTCTGATCGTTCTTGCGTAATAGAATGCCGTGGAAATGAAACGAAATTCGAATTTCGCGCGCATTCCATCAAAATGTCTCTCCAAAATTGGCTAAAAAATTCTCCGTTGAAATTGCGCTTCGCCCTAATTCTCAGAGACGTTAATTATTTAGCAGAGTTTCATGCAAACTTGTATTTGTGTTAGGACTATAATTAGAAGACGGTAGACAATTGATAAAATTAACTAAAAGAGTAGGATTTTGATGATAAATTATGTATGAGATTATCACTGAAATGATAATTGATAAAACTAATTGATTTTATATATCTTTTAACATTTATCTAATTTTGCATTTTAAAATTCCCTGCGAGAAATGCAGGGAAGTTGAAAATTTTAAAGTATAAAAAAAAAAAGAAGAAACTTAAATAAAAATCTCCTACTATATATAATATATATACTATATTATATCATAATAATACTATATTATATTATAATAAATACTTTACTTTGGATATTTTATATATTATAATAAATACTTTACTTTCGATATTTTATATATTATCATAGTTAATTATATTTTACCAGTTACCAAGAACATTTTTGAATTTTACTGAACTTTTTATACTTCCTGATAATTAAGCTTAACATCATCGAATGACAAAAATTCTTAATAATAATAATAAATAAATAATTTATTCAATTAATTTTTATAGTAACTTATTTAATATTTTATTTCAATTTCTTTAATTTATTATTCAAAGGATGCACTGTTTTGTACAATTTTTATGTCGTCAGAAGAAATTATAGTATTTAAGTTGGAAATTAATTAAGAAAGCGACTTTGAAGGAAATATCATCAATGTGAAAATGCTTGTGAAAAATCGTACAGTTTAGCGTCTAAAGATTAAAACAAAGAAGTCTTTCCACGAGCGGTACAAACCGGAAGTTGAAACTCGGTTAATACGTAACGCGATTTTTTTCTTGTCGGAAACAATGATCTTCTGTAAATTTGAAATTGTCTCTAACTCTCTGGTGTGTGTATCGTTCTTAAGATTTGTCAATAAAAGCGTTAAATCGTTAAGATTTATTACATCTTTCTGTTTTTCTGATTCGTTCGCCATACTTTACGAGATATTATTAATTATCACGATTAGATAAAGATTTAAAAAAAGAATTAAATCATTTTATATGTAGAACTGGAACAGTCGATGTGATGATGATCAGTTTCGTTTCTTGTATCTTTAATTGGTGCCAGAACGTTATATTCGTCACAATATGCATCAAATTTTCGTTTCGTCATTTACTTGCCACTCAACATTGTGCATACATCGCAATCAATATCATGTTCGTACAGCATTTTGTACAAGTGTTTAATATTGTATCATATCAAGGCTCTGGCTGAGACACTTGTTGTTTTCCCTTTTGATTTAATTCTAATAATTTAATTCAACTTTCTGAATTCGACTTGTGAAATGAATAAAACACTTGAACACGCGAATCAATTGAACGTATTTCATCATTTCAGGCAATTGTATCTAGAACATGTTTCCACAGAAGATTATTATCGAGACGAGATAAGAAGGTTTAAAATATCAGATATGAGCATCTGAATTTCTATGCCGAAAATAGCGAAATAATGATTATAAAACGAGTGCCGTACAAATTCGTAGAAAGTACCATCGATCATTTGCGATTATTCTTATTAAATTACATCAATCTTTCATTCGATTATTCACTAAAATTTCTTCACAATGATATACCAATCAATTTTCATGCTCGTTTTACACCAGTCAACATTTTTAGTTTAGCTTTCGAAAAATATTTCAGCTCTCGAAAAAATAAAATTTCTCAATAACAACGACAATAATAATAATAATAGTAATATCGCGATCTGCTCAATTTTAGAGTTCAATTTTCTGTATCGAGGAAAATGTCAAATGCAAACTAAAATCGCGTGCTCTAGATTTTATTGATACATAATTTGTTTACATCCAGTTGTCGACGAGCCAACGATAATATTTTGAGTTACGTAAGATAACGCGGAATTATAAACATCGTCGAAATAACGCATGCAAGCGTCAAGATCGTGGAAAGATACCTCATCGTTGATTGTTCTCCAAAAATCCTGCACGGATCGCTCCGATAACGGGATTTCCTCGTATTTCGAGCACTCCACACTTAGACGAAAACATTTGTATTCGTAATTGCTGCTATAAACAATGCTTCACCTAACACGAGTTTACCTTATCAGCCTTTTTAGAGAAAAAAAGTCAGAGAAGAAGTTTGGTTTCACGTGTAGATATAGAGATTAAGTCGTTGGCACTACTCGTTGAAAAATTGGAGCGCGAAATTTGTCGAAGGCGACGCGAAATGAAAGGAAAGACGAACAAACACAGTTTCCGTTGTAGTCGTTTTATGATTAGCAAACATGCTGCAAGACAAATTCTTCATCGAATATCGCGTTTCTTTTGTTTTATGTGAAAATTACTCGATCGTCGAGCTTTGAAATTGAAAAAAACATCACAAAATTACACAATTTCAGAGTTAAACGATTAATATTAATAACAATAATAATTATATGAGAAAAGAGAAAGTATGAAATTCTAAAAATGTTATTTATCCTATTGTTTCTCGACAATTATTGTCGCGTTGTTATGTAACAATAATTCGGGGAAAACCAGAAATGGGTCAGACACGGTGATTATTTTTTAATTACTATCTAGCGACACGAAAGCGTTTTAAACCGAGGTTCGCGAAAACAAAACAGAAGTTGCGAAATCTGATTTATTGAACATGAAGCATTTCGGAGAAATGTGAAAATATTTAAAGTTAAATACGACAGACAAAATTACGTGTCAATTCCGGAAAGATTGAACGAGCTTCTAATGTTCACGGCCGAAGATGAAACTTTATTGCTTGGCTTAATGCTTTGATGCGGATGTTTGAACAAGTACTCGAGACTATAGACATCGTGACACGAGACCGATTAGAAATAATTATATTTAAAAGGTACGAAATTGCTATTTTTTTTTTAGTAAATATAATAAAATAAGAGTAAAATAATTTACTATAATTTAGTAAAATAATAGTAAAATAATTTATTATAATTTAGTAAAATAATAGTAAAATGACTTACTATAATTTAGTAAAATAATAATAAAATAATTTATTATAATTTAGTAAAATAATAGTAAAATAATTTACTACAATTTAGTAAAATAATAGTAAAATAATTGACTATAATTTAGTAAAACATAGTAGATTTAGTAAATATACTATTACTATAAATATAATTAACTCTACTATTACTATAATTGCACAATATTTGCACAATTCTATATATAGGATATATACTGTTCTTTTTCTCGAAGTTTCTCACGAATGAAAGAATGGAACTCAATTTTGAAGGACAGAATATTATTTTGACACTACAATCTGATATCAGTAGCACTCATAATAAGATTGATCTACGTACGTCATGAACAATAATCTTATCCAGATAATAATTATTAGAGAACAGAAGTACCAAATAAGTGTTAAATTCTTACTGAATATCGAAGCTTATTAACATGATTGAAATATATATTTAAATATATAGATAGTTGCATTAAATATCGTACAACTTCTGTATACATAAAATTTTTGCCAAATATAGTCATGACAGTCGAGTGTTAATAAAATATCAAAATGTCCACAATGTGTTTGAGCATTTTTGTAATCCTAAACGTACTGACTTGTAAATACATAAAAATAATAATAATAATTACTTAAAATCTACAATTATACATGCAACATCTGCGTGTAACATGTTTATCATAGCCTCGATTCCAAAGTGTCAATTTGAACGAAACAAAAGGACAAATTTCGAGCAGCGACGATCATTTCGATTAATGACACTGTTCAGTGCCGC